TAGGAAAAACGATGGTCTGGCATTTAGAGTAATTAATCTTGAGTTTCATACGTTCACTCCAGTCATAAATGCTAGAGAGTGTGTTGTTGACCCTACCCTACAATAAGTAATAAGAAAAATAGTTTGGTTAAGTTAACTGATAAAGTGATAAGACGTACTAAATATTAAGAAACGAAATTTGGCATGGTGGCTTTTATGTGAGGGGCATTGATGCTATTAAATTTTAGTGGTTAAAGATGGCGGAATAACGAGATAGAGGATATCATGTTTCATATCCCGAATTGGGTAGGACTTAATGAAATTTTTATTCGTTATTAACATTTAAGCTGATTTATAAAACCCATCCCTACCCTCAAAATTAAGCTTTTTTACACTGTATAGTAATTAACTATATAAAAAAGTTTTTATAACAAAATCTCATAACAGATGGCGCCACATATAATTTTATTTTTTTTAATAATATAAAGGTTATTTTTTTTAAATAAAAACTCATAACAGCCGGGAAAGTTACGCAACTCGTTTTTGGATTTTTATACAGTTAGTAACATAACTTATGTATATCATAAACACTTTTTCTAACGGAGTTTCTGGGTTTTCTCATGTATCTAACACGTAAATAGAAACCAATTTTTCGTATTTTCGTACAAAGTCTCCTAAAGCACCATCCCTGTGGTAGATTGTCCAATATCTTGTGTAGCCATATTCCACCAAAACTAACAAACCCTCCAGCATCCGGTTTATAAATATGTTTTTGTAACAATAAAATATGCGTTTTAGAATATAAAACTAAGTTCAGTACAATGACTGATAGTTATAAGACAAGCACCAAACTCTTTTTTGAATTCATGAAAAAAGTTGCGTTCTTTGAAATAAACAATGAAGTAGTGTAAATAATTTATGTGAAAACAAAACTGGTCATTTTTTGCCGTTAAAGAAAGTAACATTATATAAAAAGCGATAATGGTTGATGAAATAAGACGACATAAAGGCCGCCACATACTAGGTTATGACGTTGCTTTCGACGTGACATCAGAAGCGATTTTTATGGTCACATTTTGCTTTGATATCATTAAGGTTGAAAAATATTGTCTTTTCACCTACAAACTTTGGAAAAACGTGAAGTCCAAAGTGATTAAATTCTCAGTAAATAAATCACTAAGAGGATTTTTTTAATCGTATTCATCGTCAGACCCGCAGTAGGGACAGCTGGGTGGTGAGAAAAAACCCGATAAATCCGAGACTGACCAACTAATTACATCAATAAATTTTGATTTAATTATTTTTGGGTTTTACTTTTTCGGCTGTTATATGTATATATGTTGCAGTCAAATTGTTAATTTAGCCACTTTACAAATCGTCTAGCCGTTTCATTAAACGGCGCTATTTAACAAAGCTAATTAACGTTCAGCCACTTTACAAAAAGACTAAACCAAATCCCGCCAGATTGAATGACATACAGTAGAGCCTCGATTATCCGACCCCCGATTAACCGACCGTCCTAGTTGGCAAATTTCAAATGTCCGCTACTGATGTGGCGCTACAATAATTGGCTATGTCTTGGCTACTTTAATATTATTTTTACGTGTTTTAGCTGGCAACACTCATTCGACCATGAAAGGGAGCCAGTATTTAAACGAGGCTTAATTTTCTAATTTTTAACGATACAATAGCGACAATTATTATTTTAAAAAATTTTTGTTAGGCTTAACATCGATGAAAATTCAACGCGAAGTAGGTTAATAGCGATATACTAATATACTAATTACATGGGATATAATAATATACTACACTAATAATGGATTTTTTCATACTTT